CAGAAGAGCATCAGGCTGATGCTGTTAAAATATAAGGATGATTTTATGGTTTTGAGAACTGATAGGAAGCCCATGTGTACCATCTGGTGTAGTGGGGAAGAGAGAGACAGTGTCACAAGAGAACACTATTAATGTTGACACGAACTGGATCTAGAGAGAGTGTTGAAATTCATTCTGTGCACAACAAGAAGCCACTAAAAATTGTTCAATTCAAGAGTTTTCTCATTTTTCTATTGTAATAGCTGATTTAAGAAGAATGTACTACAGGATGGGACTCATGTTATATGGAATCATAATATAGAATACAAGTGCTTGTTAAATCTGGTATTCCATTTCATGTATGAAAATAATTCCCACCCATTGAGACTATCTTCAATAGATTAGATTGTAGCCATTATGCATTGTTTGAAAAATATGGCCTTTGCTTACAAGCAACCTCCATCCCCTCAAAGGCATCTGACGCTGACTACAGGTTTGTAACTGCAATAATTAAAGTGTCTAGTTTTTCTGCTTTATAGAAGAAATAGAGTGTTCTCAATAAATATGCTTGAATTTTAGAAAGCATAACAAGAAAATATGTTTTGTTGGTTTTACTTTTTCTTACAGCTTTGATGAAATGGCTAAATATGACCTTCCAGCCACAATAGACTTCATTGTACAGAAAACTGGGCAAGAGAAGTTGCACTATGTTGGTTATTCTCAGGGCACCACTATTGGTAAGTAAAAGCACTGAGACTGGGAACAGTTTCTAAACCACTGCCCAATAGCATAACCATTGCTATGCAACTTTATAAAATGTCATGTCCATGGCAATACAGTAACATGAGGACAATTATTCCTCATACCCTAGAGATGGATAAATCAAGCAGTGAGATAAATAACTCAGGCAAGTAGCATGAGCCTCTATGAATAGTCCAAAGTTATGGTTCAGATACCAGTCCAGGTCAACTGACTCTCACGGCAGCATGTTCCAGCATCCAGGCTGAAATTGTTTTTTTTTTTCTTTCATCATTTTTATGGAAACCAAATTATTTGTCCAAATAATATACCAAAGAAGATAAGTTAAAGTCTGTACCTTTATATTACTTATATGGAGGGGGACAGAAAAGTAACATTAAAAGTAAATGGAGTTCAACAAACCATGGTAATGTTATGGGAAATTATAACTCATGGAGGATTTTAGCGATTCTCAGAGGGCTTCTGAATTCATTTTCAACAGAAAAAATTCTGCAAACACTCTCTGAGTAGACACAGAAGAGTCATGTAATGACATAGAAGAGTCATATGGAAGGAAGTCTGTAAGAAAAGCTGATATATAAGGACATCAGGAACTCAGTTTGGGAACACTCTGTCATCTATTAAAGATTTGGGTAAAGATGTCAAGGATTAGTAATAAACTATCTGAACTTAAAGAAAGAACACTGGACTAAAAACACTCGACAGGAGGCATCAGTCCATGAGACTAAGTTAAAATCCCAAGGAATCAATTCAGACAGCCGAGAGAATAGGTCTCAGCACAACAGAGTTATCCCTTCATTTTCAAGAGGAGAGTTCTGTGACAAAGGAAACAAAGTTAGAGGTAGTGATAATGATATGCAAGCAGCCAGAATTCTGGAATCCAAAGGGAGGGCAGGTTTCCTACTTATCAAAATACTATGTGAAATGATGTCTGAGAGGGAGTTGTTGGAATTACCTTCCTAGAAGTCATAGGCATCTTTGTTGTTGCAGATGGTGGCTTTTTGAAACAAGACTGTCCTGTGTAGCTCAAGCTAACTTCAAACTCCTGACCTTCTTGACTCAGCCACCAGAGTGCTGAGATTAGCAGCATCTGACAAGAACTGTGTTTGGCTATAGGGAGCTTTCACAACATTAACGTTCTGTGACACACACTTCATCTAACTTAGTGTTTTCTCACAAATATGTTATAAAATTATTGAATGATATTGAGATGAGTAAAACTGCTCGTCTTGACACTGAATTATTCTACTCTGCCTCTATCTTGAGTTAACTGAAGACTGAACTCAACTCTTCTTGTTCTTTAGTGGCTATTTTAAAGAGTCATCACTGTGCTCATACATATCCCAACAAACTGATGTGCCATTTTGACAGCTTGCCTCACACGGCATTTGCAGCAAGTCCAAAATAACATCACACTTGTGAAAACAGAACAGAACACACATGCACACAGCTTCGTCACTGATGGTCTGTTCTATTTCAGGTTTTATTGCCTTTTCTACCAATCCCACACTGGCTAATAGAATCAAGACATTTTATGCATTAGCTCCAGTTGCTACTCTCACATATGCACAAAGCCCTTTGAAAGAACTTTCACGTATTCCTGGGTATCTTTTAAAGGTATGTGATTCTATTTTAGGTATCCAATTGCCTTTGGATTCCAAAGTGTTCAAAATAAATAAATGTTCTTAGGGATGAACATATTCATATCAACAAACCTAAAGTTTGCATGTTTATATTATCTCTCTCTGGCATGAAAATTATCGACCCTCTTGCCTTTGAAATCCCCATCTATTCCTTTGGTTTTCATTAACTTACAGTGGGTTGTCAATGCTATGAGTGTTTTGCTTTCTACAAATATTCTACACACCTGTGTCAAGGTAGCAGCTTCACTCCTGCAATAGAGAATGGGGTAATAAACGACTAGAAAAAAAATAATCAAATAAGAATCCTAGTAGGGCTATAGAAACTTGCAAGAGGAGGAAAAGAAGGAAGATGAAGGGGAGGGGAAAAATAAAGCAAAGAAATCAATGAATGAGCAAAAAGTAAATACTGTGCAACCTCCAAGTAAATGCTCTTGGGCTGTCTATGAGTTCTTGTCCCAAGAAATGGAAATTTCACAGGACAGTAATATAGACATGAATAGACCATGAATATTTAGTGCCTTGTTGAACAAGCCCACACAGGAATGTAATAATA